TTTCTCATCGAAAGCATTGTAGTTTGTAGAAAATCCTGGAAGTATATTTCTAGGATATCTGTCTTCCAGCAAAGACATCATGCATGTATTCCGTTTTCTTGTGATATGGATACAGATTTCTACATACCAACATTTGTTAATATACTGTTGCTCATCTTGTATTCCAGTGGTCGGAGTGTACATTTATTTTAGAGCCAAAATTCAAAGTTCAGTTAGTAGAATTATTGTGTGCAAGCACTGACAACAGTGCTAATCAATTAAGAGTCAGAATAAGTATAGAATGTTATACTTTACAGTCTGTTAATTACTGATATAACACTTTCTGGCAGAGCAGTTATTAATCTTTTATTTTCAGGATTTGTGAATAATGAAAAAGTGCATGAACTATATCTCTCTATAAAACTAATACAAGGGCCTGATACCTAATTTATTTTACCAAAATAATATGTGTGGATAACTCTGTGATTTTCTGAGCCGTAATTATTAACAAATGATGATAAATATTTAAGCCATGTTTCTTAATATTAACATTTTATCTTTTCAATTTAAAATCCTTTGGCAATTATGTAGTAGTGACAATTGGTAAATATTTGTATATTGTGAAGTCATTGCCACATCATTGTGTGATAATCTCTCAGACATTATCAAGAATTATTTCATCTACCGAATATCCAGGCAGTGTTTCATTATAGTCCAATGTGACTGCCTATGTTACAGCACTACGGTTACTTCAGCTTTATGACAGAATGTAACAGAGATTAAAAAGGCACAACCAATTTTTGAGCTTTTTTGGAAAATTCACACACCAATATTTGCTTTAAGTTCATAAGGTTTGTGTTACTTTGCATGAACTTGCTTGCTTGCTGTTTATTATTGAGACCCGCTTTCAAATGAAGTGTCAGGATTACTGGACTCACCTGTTGGTAACAACACAAATTGTTGCCTACAATTACAGTTTTACCTAGACGTGGGGTTTGAAATCTGAATTCATGCTTAAATTCTGTGCTGTCATGCAGAACGTATGCACCTCACGGTTTGAACTGGGGTTTGTCCCAGTGCTAGCAGTTGTTTGTAACTAGTTTTTTTAGGAAATCAAACCAATTTTAGTATTATTGTATTAACTCTTAATTAAATGCTTTAAAATAAAATCAGTGATGGGATTAGATGAGCAGAATGTAAAGGTACGCAAATCAACGACAGCCCTCTACCGACATATAGGTCTAACATCTCTTTGAAAAGAGACGTAGTCTTAAAATACCTTATTTTCAATTCAATATATAAATCAGCATTAAAAATATGTTAAAATTGGTCAGAACATAAGTGCAAATACACAAATCCCATGTGATTCAAGATCTTAATGTATTTATACAGGTTCTGGTTGGATGTCATTATAGAGATTTAATGTGAGTCTCTTAATTTCCTTTCAAATTTTGAGATTATATGTACTATACATTGAAACTGTTCTAAGAAGATTTTCCATTCTTTGACTTCACTTAATGCAGTGCAAGGTCTGAGAATTTAAGTATTTTTATTACATTAATTTTGTGAGGTTTTTAATTTCTTTAGAAACTGACAAAATAAAAATGGGAGGATGTATCTCTGGGTGTTAGAAAAATTTTGACAGGAAATCAGAGAACTAGAAATTAGAGCAGAATTAAAAAAAACAGATTTTTTTTTTCATAATATGGAATCCAGATATACCAAGATTGATTTAATTAATAGTAGTAATGATAAAATTGTGGTACATTAAGAACTCAATCCAGTAGAAACACACAGTATTTATTTCAGTATGTAAGTTTGAGCATGCAGGCTATATATATATATATATAGATATATGTATATTTGTGTTGGTAGAATACCATGCTTTATACTCAGACACAGAAGATGATGCATTTTGAACAGCTTTATTTGTAAATAAATATTTTTAAGCATGCACAAATAATTACTCAAAGTTATGTAGATTCTTCAAACAAATTAGTAGGGCAAAGCAATCTTTTTCCCTAATTGCCCTTCCTAAAAGCTGGTTAAACACACATGTATAGTTCCCGTTTACATATCCAGCTAGCTACATGGATTTTCTTGAGACGTGGTTTTGAAAGTACACTTTAGTTGAGCCCAAACATTGCGAGTTTGCACTTAAAAGAAAATGTCTGTCTAAACCGGTGAGCACAAAGTAAGATATAGAATAGATGCCTAGTCCAGCCTGCACAACAGGGTTGCTACCATGTTGTTAGAATAATTACATTTTGGCTGAACTAACTAATTTAGAAAAACCGCAGTACCTCTAGCAAGACTGAAAACTTTCCAGGACTGGGTTGGGGTTTTTTTTATTTTTTAGCGTAATTTAAAACAATACCTCTTCTAGCTGCCAACAAACTCTTTCCCTGAATCTCCCCATTCCTGGCTTCCCTCCTAACCATGTCCTGGCTCACCTCCAGAGCTGCCAAGTTTATGCCAGAAGCAGGAGGTAGATTTGTATGGGGCTGGAGGAAGATCTGGAGCTCTGTTAAATTTTCAGGCCCAGATGGGGCAACATGATTTGTGTGTTTATGTCAGTATGCCATACATCACAACTATCTGTGTGCTGACGTCAGCTTTGATTGGACATTAATGTGCTGAACACTGCAAACTAGAAAATACATGATAGATACAGATCTATGACAACAATGCCACATAAGCAAATGTCTCTTTGGTGTGGCAATTCACTGTGCAAAATATTTCCCAAGATAAACTGCATTAAGGCAGGAGAATATTTTGACACACTTTAAAAACAAAAACAAAATCTACATGGGCAAACAGACTATCATTTAGGAAAGCAAACCTATTCCGAAGACGAGCTGAAACCAACATATTGAAGTATGTATCATTAGGCAAATATTGAATAGCTATCCCTCGCATCAATCTTTCCCGAATTAAGACCAAATAGGAAAGATGCTATTCTTACAATTTGCAGGACTGTTAATGATGAGGATACCGTGCTAATGGTTGAGTATCTTTACGGTGTTTGTAACCCATTGTTACCAAACCCAGCAAGCAAAAACGTTAATGGATAGAAAGTATTTTTTCAAGTGACAGAATATGACTTGGTTCCAGAAATCACCAGTGTTTATTTATTTATATAACAATTTTTTATTTCTTGCTTATACAAGTAACATCCAGCAAAAGAACTGGCATAATATGGTAATTTCTGGTCCGTAGGTTTATAGAAGTCACTGGCTACTTCAGATTTATATTTATACCATCTTTATATGATTGCCCCCATAAAATAATGTGACCAAAAGCTTCCATAAAATATAGTATACTGTCTCTCTTCCTAGAAGAGAAAATAATGTGCAAGTCAGCTTTAATATTTCAGAGGTGGATATAATAATGAAGTTTAGGGACTGATGTGTAGGCAGTGTTCTTTTACCTTAGATTGCTTGTGTTATTGCTTAGAAAGGAAATTCAGTAGTATAACACTATGTTATCCATCATCAGACTTTGTAGGTAAAATTGAAGTTCCCTGATTCCATGGGGATAGATCATTTTGGCCTGCACACAAGTAGCGGCTTTGAAAAGAGCCCAGTCCCCAGGATTTAATGCCATCTGGCCCATAAGGTGGGGAAGGGAGGGGGTTTAAAGGTACCACGGGATCAGTGGATTTAGGCCTTGTGACCTGAGCAGATTGGGCTGTGCAGGACAGGCCACAAGTTACTTTATGTAGCAGTCAAAAATCAGAATTCAGATGATGCTTTGACGGGAGTAGTAAATGTTCACCTTTCACGTCTGCTTCATAGGCTTCTCTGTGGCTAGGGAGTCGTCTGTGAGTTCATGAAAGCAATTGGTGTATTGAGGACCATTTTAATAAACCTGTATATCAGTACAATGCATATCTAGGGATGTTTCCCTTCTCTCTCCTTCTAATAACTTTATAAATTGTTATTATCACATAGCCTGACAGTATTTAAATTGACCTTTCATAATAAGCGTCGGTCATATAGTTTATGAAAGAAATGCAGAACGTACAAAATGCTTTTAAATAAATAAAAAATACAAACCTATAACTTGGAGCTACAGAGCTAATTCTTCATACTTGAAATGGGTATTTTAAGATGATTGGTCTTCATACCACTGAAAGTATGATGGGCATGGCACCTACAGCCATCAAGAACAAGAGCATACCAACTGTCCAGGCAGTTTGAAGATAACTAATTCCTGTCTTAAAGAAATAGTTTGCTTCTTAGTACAGATTTGTCTCTTTTTTTTTTTTCTCATTAAATACTGACATCATCAAAGCATTTAAAAACATTTTATCCTGAGTTACCTCTGAAGATCTCTGCTGTGACCCTTGAACGTTGCTTTCTGCTATATAAATTAAGAAAACCACAGAAAACAGCTTATTTTAGGCACGTAACAGTACATTGTTGCACAAGACATAAGGCATCACTTATAAATCACAAATACATTGAGAAATGGTAACGCAACTTGAAGCTTTAGATTCATATTTTGTGTAGAGAGGAACTTTTAGAAAGAAAAATAGTGGAGAAAATGCTTTCGTTTTTCATGTTGTTGGACTGATGATCAAAATGAATAATCATGTGGGTTGTGCTTGCTCAAAATACTAGAGGTGATACGTCTAAGTGTATTAAAAACCAAGGTTTTCAGAACACAAACGAAAGCTGGGCATCTGACTCGGAGTAGAAGTCAATGAGAGGTACTTAACTGCCACATAGCTTGGAAATCTCTCTGATGTGAGCAAATGCTTATGTTACAAAGATTTAGCAAAATATTTAGTGCTGAGTTAGCCCTTTTATGGTGTCTCCTTGTCAAAAGTATGTTTCCCTTAGACAGAAACTTCGTCTGTCTTTTTTAAAGAAAAAACCCCTTTAATGTAATTTCTGAGTATTGATGACCTATTTTTTTCCCCACAGTGTGTCATTGAGAAGACCAAGGCTTACTCTACGGACATTAATTACCTTTTTCATCACATAGGATGTGTATTTTGTTTCCATGTCTTACAGAATAAAGCAATTATGGAACGTGTAACAAACTTGTCAGATATGGTAGTTGGTCTTGAATCATTTATTGGCTCTGAGAGAGAAACCAATCCATTATACAAGGATTACCACGGTAAGTTCCATCTTTAGCAATGCAAAAAGTCTACCCTGAGTGTTTCTAGGGCACTTAGTGGCTTACCCTCCAATTGGGTATCTGCTATAAAGTAGCGTTTGATTTCATTTTAGAATATACCTCTTAAATGTTTCTCCTTACTAACCAGTCTTGAGTTAGGAAAATTTTCAGTAAAGTGCATTAAGGCTGCAAAGGAAACATGGCAACTCCTTGCATGTTGTCAAGCCGTATTACTGAGGCATGGTTCAATCAGATGTACATCTCAACAGGCAGGCTTTGGGGAATTCACATGCAGAGGAGGCTTGGCAATCATCTGACCAGCGAGCTGAACTTGTCATGAAATCAATACTTTTGATCTGCCAAGTTTTAAATAGAGAACACGGAAAAACATTTATTATATTAAGGTGAATAAACTGCTAAATGATGTGCTATATAAACTTTATCTAAAAATGATGTTCTATTTTTCAGCTTTAAGTTATTGCACTTTCTCATTTAAAGAAATGAATGTGGATCTATGTGGCATGTAAAATATGAAACTAATTTTGGTAAAAAGTCATGTAGCCTTTCAAGTGATTTTAGCTTCAAAATGTGTAATGGTGCTTAATCTTGCATTTTGTTTCCCAAAGATTTTGTCAGCTGTTGCAGCAGAGCTATTTAAATTTTTAAATATTAGAAGTTATGCCTAGCCAAAGCAGTGAATAACAGTTTCAGCTAATCCAGAGCAGCACTCTGAGTGTGCATAAATTACAGCTATTATTATTGTGATATTACTGTAGTTCCATGGAAACCTTTAGTTGAAAGTAAACTGCTTATCTGAAACCTGCTGTAAACATGTGAGAATGTGGCAGTGTTTTCCATAGCAGAATATATAGAAAAAGAAGCAGAGATGGTGTTGAGACACCACTGTGTATATGCAGGCTGTAATTAATAAATCAGAGAAAAATCTTTTTGACTGGGAAAATAGTGCACATTTCTTTATCTGAAAAAAAGGTGAATGAAAAAGAAACCATGAACAAAAGCTAGAATAATTTGCCTAATTATTTTTCCAAGTATATAATCGTGATGTGGCATTTGTTTATGCTAACATAATTCTGTCAATTTGATACTCCTTTTCTCAGTACTGAAGAGATCCTTTAAGACAATGTGTGTTTTAGCAGCTATTTCCTGGTTTCCATTAAAAATGTATGCTAAATAAATTTTGGTACTACTTAATAAAAATTATATGCCAGTATACATAACTGTCGAGGTTAAGGCAACCTAAATTTAATATTCTAAAAATAGGTATTTTTAACAGTTTTAACTTTGTGGATTCTTTTGCTTAAGAATATATTTTAAGATTATTTATTTAATGCAGGTGATGGAAGATTTTGACATTACCCAGGAGAAGTTTGATTAAATTGTTTCATTATTTAATGAATCCTGCATTAATAATTTTATTAAGCTGCCTGCAAATGTTAATGGTTGAAAAGTAAATAAAATAACAAAAGAATGATATAGATGATCCTTCAATAAAATTTTTAGAATACTGTATATAAGCAACCCTGTGTTATACTTGCTGTTTCTATATATAATAATTATATTTTGAATTCAGATGCCAAACAAATAATTCTTATATGTCACGAGACAGGAGGCAGGGATAGAAGGTTTCAAAGTGTAAAAATATTTTTCTAATATTATTGAGAATTTTTGTAGTTAATACCCATAAAAATTACACTTTTTAAAGTATTTCGATATTAGGAAACTTTCTTCCCTTATTCTTCCTTCTAAAAAGAAAAAAAAAAAAAAAACTGAAAAATACTTGCCTTATTTTAAATTAGGGTTTTAGTGTTTGGGGTTTTTCTCACAGCTGCCGTTTTCACGTAAAATGTCTTTTCTAAATGTTCAGTATTTCCATTTAGACGCTGACTTTATGAATAGCAAATATAGGCCAGTAATTGAGAAGCCCTGTAGAATTTTCCTGGTTTTCAGATGTAGAAAATCACCCTTAGGTTGTTCAGAAACTATATTAGGCTGCACAAAAACCATCCAGCGTCCTTGTCAGAAAAAATCAGCTTGAGTTGCAGCTGACAGAATGCAGAGCTTGCAGTGCACCTAGTACTGTTAAAAACAGCTGAACAGCTATATAAGCCTCCTGCGTGAAGAAAACGTATTTCTCCTAGGATGGCATAGGGGTTAAAATTTCTTGAAAATCATGATGTAAATTGGTATTTTCCGGAAACTTTTTAAAAGTCATTTTCAGGGCGCAAAATGAAGTACTTCTCATTAGAGCTTCAGTGGTTATCAGTAACCCATAAGCCTTGTTTTGCTGGCTGCTTACTGGTGCATTTAATAAAATAAAGATCACTCAGTGGTGCCGTGGGCAGCATGCAAGGTGATAGCCATATTTGCTTACTGTAAATACAAGAGAAAATCACACACAAACCGGCTGTAGTTTTGACAAGTATTAAGATCCCTCTTTACATCTGTACTTCTGTACCAAAGTGCAATTAGTTTTCCTCGCACAAGGATTTCTGTTTATCTTATTCTGCTTGATTACTTGAGTATAATCGCACCGTTTGCTTCATTGCTCCTGGTAGTAAGCTCCAGTTTAAAAAGGGGAGGATGAGTGTGTGTAAATATACAGAATTCTGCTGTAAGACTCTAATTTATGCATCTGGATGACAGCGTTTCCTTAATTTTTTTTTTTCCCTCCTTTACTCTTTCTTTCCACAAGGTTTGGTTCACGTACATCAGATTCCTCGGCTTAATAGCTTGATCTGTGATGTGTCAGACACGAAGGACCTTGCTTTTAGACTAAAAAGGAAGCTGTTCACCATTGAGGTAAGAGAAACAGTTTTGTTTCACTATTTAGAACCCAAGAGGTGGAGCTAATCCCATCTCTTATGTTTCTTTTTGTGAAATACATAAAATATGCATCAGTTGTTGTAAATTCATTTCATTCTGGTTTTGCTGTTCACGACATTTTTTGTAAAATATTGTAATATGTCTTCTAATTAAAAATGTCTCATTTGCTGCACTAAACCAGTCCGTTATAAATAGTTTATTTTGGTTTAAAATGTACATGGAAAGTAGGCCACAACCTTCAATAACAAAGCGTGACATGTTTCTAAGGATGTCAGGAGCATATTTAATTAAATGTTAATGACTTGCTCTTACTTGTGTTAGTGGGTGGGAAAGTAGCTACATGTTATTACCCCAGTAGAGGGATTTTAATGTATAATGCTGCCTAAAATTGTGTGTGGTATGAGGGATAAGTGTCCTTATCAGTATTCAGAAACCATTTTCTTTGCATTACTGAAACCACCTTTCGCTCTTTTATGTCATTTTAAACACAGTATCATTTACACTAATGTCCTTAAGTAAATTTCCTACTAAATTTAAACTTTTTTCTGTGACCTTTATGCAGACAGTCCTGATAGAAGGCAGTAATACAAAAGATGTATTTCATTTTAATCTTGCTAAAGAGCAAATGAACATAGCACTATTAAGCAATTAGAGCTGATGTATTTATTAACCAAGTAATGCTTAGAGATGGAAGATGGCTTTCGGGGTGATGTGATAGTCATCGGTACAGTCTGGGCAAATTTTTTTTTAACAAAGACATAAAACAGCCAAGCATCCCTGACAAACCATTTTGTTTAATCTCTTTTCAAATGAAAAGCTCTTAAGCAGGCCACTTGTCTTAACTGCTTGAAACCATAAAAAGAGAGAATTGCCACCAATAAATTAGCATATTTTTTACTCCATCACCAAATGATGGTCAATGTGGCTTGGCACTGCTTTGGTGTTTGGGACTTCACCCTTAAGTGACCACTTTGGCCCTTATTTGACCCTCTGCCCTTTTTAGCTGGCCACTTGATAAGGTAACTTAAGGGTTCTCTCTCTTCAGTGCCCCCTCCCCTTCACAATTGCAAGTAGCCCTAACCTATAAATCATTGAAAGGGCCCTATCAAGTGACAAATTAAGGTGCCCTCCTCCTAATTAATGGTCATCAATGTCTTTAATTATCTAATCCTATTGAGAGTAGTTAATAGTTAATCAGGCAGCCAGTTCTTCATGCAGGTCATCTCTGCATGAGTGCTAGAAGTTTCTCAACTAGAGGTATCCTCTTCAGAAGCCACTTAAAGGCAAATCTGGAAGGAGGGCTTTTTTTTTTTTTCCCCAAGACATTCCTTTATAATGTTTCTCACTTTCCAGAGAATGCGGTTAGTGAAACCAGGCATGCTGAGGTATTAAACTATTTTAACAACTGCTTTTGAGCAGTACATTAGAAACAAAAATCTTGATAGTCCGTGTTTCGTTTTAAAATACAAATGTTCTTACTGTTTTCAGAAGTGCAGAGACGCGTGCGCCCTCATTTTGCAGCATAGTAAATTCTCATGTATTACAGCTGTGAATTAGAATATTTAGGGGTTTTTCCTCACTGTGAATCCTGAGTCAGAATATAATTTTTTCTGTCAGCCTTACTTGGGATTCTAATTTGTACTGTAATTTGGAAGGGAAATAAAATAAAACAACCTTAGCAGGAGGTTCTATAAAAAGAATTGAATAAGGCATGGGGCAGAAGCATGGGAAACAGGGGTGTAGTGGAACTCATGAAACAACCTGTTGCCCTAGACATGTGTAGGTGACCCACTTGTATAATTTCTCCCTTCATTGCTCAGCTGCAACCCCTTTTGAATAACTTCAGGTTTTGTTAGAAATATGCTCTCTGTAAGCTGAGCTGACACAAACTAGCCCTTTTCGAACAAGTTAGATCGCTGTCCCACTGTGATCTTCCTGTACACATTTCCCTAATCTATAATACACATGTTTTTCTTCCTTGTACTGTTAGGGGAGGCAGACTACAGCCAGGCTGACTGGAGCAATGAGGTCAGTAAGAAAATGGGAGCAAGGGAAAATTGAATTAAGAAGGGCGATGAATACAATCTTCTAAAATGGGTTTCTGCAGTTAGAATGTGATGAGTCAGCAGTCAGGTTTGGGTCTGGTGGTAAAAACATAAAGCAACAGTGCGCTCTGTGCAAAGTACAGCAAAGTTTATGACTCCTTTAGTACGTACCTTAATGTGAAATGAAAATATATTTTGAATACGTTATGGTTTTTGGAAAGCTTCTGCTTAGTTATATACACAATTTTGGGTAAAAATATTGACATCTACTTGAAATGCCACTTTAAAATCAAATTACTTCAGAAAAGTTAGAAATACACAAGCTATGATTTATGACAAAATTTCTCCAGAAAGTTTTTTCGTCACCAGACCATTCTTTTTTTTACAGTTTAAAATAAGGGCATGGGACATGGATTTTCTCATCTCTGGCTTGCTCACCAGTTAAATAACTCTTTATGGTTTGGCCCTCATCAGTAAAAAACCTTAAACGTCAAATCCAGTTTATTAGATTGCAGTTTTGTGGGATGGACTCCGCCTCTTTACAGTCTGCAGAATCTTTAACTGTTTCAGTTTTTCTTGTATCTTCTTCATCAAAGTAAGTTTAACTGAAATTTATTCTAAAGGGATTTTTTTTTTTAATTCACGATGAAAATGTTTCTTAATGAATATTTATGAGTGTTGGTTTTCCATTTGTAAATTATGAAGTAGACCCTTTCCAGGAAAACTTACATGTTTATGATAAAAGGTGCAGTAGCTATATCAAGCTTTCCCAAATCTTCACACGTTAGTTACTAGCAATATATTATTATAGGCAATATTATCAGAGATCTATCTTATGTGCATACCACTTTAAAGGACACAATTTTGAAGTTAGCCTGTCTAATCCTATTTCTTCCCACTTTGGAATCTTAATTAGAAGGAGATAAAAACCATCATTTGACTAAATTATTGTCTTGAATCTGTAGCAAAAGGTATAATCCGCAATTGGGCCAATTAGTGTACCCCATAGTTAGCTATGCTGAGGCAGGAAACTTGATTAGATCTGACACCAGCCTAGTTCCCACTGTTGTTTTGCCAGGTATGATGGTCAGACTTCAAAGGGCTTGAGGCATCAGCAGGGCAAGGTTTGGAGGCCAGCTTAGGTCCGGTCGTTAATCTCTCTGCTAAAACCACAGCAGCCCTCGCACAAAACAAGCTTACACGACACAATCATGCGGTATTAAAGTTTGGGTTGAGTCATGCCAATTTGCCTTTGATTTTCTGATGATTGACTAAAAGATGGCTACATGACTAGACACATACTGAAAGTTTACTGATTAGGTAAGTTCCCCAAATATTTGAAATATTTTTTGATTTCTCAGTTAAATGATATGACAACCCGTTCATCTTAATGAAACTTTTCCGCAGAACTGTTCTTGAAGTACTTTTTGCTTTGTTTGTAGCTGCGAATGTAATTTTTATCAACATTTGATACATTTTGTTCGTAGTTTTATTTAACGGAACTTTATCTTAGTTGTTCCAAAACCTCTGGTATCAAAACTAAAGGAATCTGTGCCTAATTTGATTATTTCACTCCTCAAAGTTTCTAGGGAAATACAGTTTGGCTTTGTTATTTAGGTACATTTACAATTACTCGCAAAAAGGGGAATTTCCTCTTAATTATTTTCCACCTCACCATTGACTAAAGCACTGTTCCACAGCTGCGATTACATAAGTGTTCCCTTCTTTTGCAGTCTGATTTGTTGAAATATTGCAGTAACAGTGACATGTTTCCATTCTGAGAAAAGCCTAAGGCTGCTTTAGTATTATTCCAAATGATTGAAATTGCCATCTTGCTGACTTTCCCTTGGGCAGCTTAAGGCCTGTTTACTTTTGTATTTGTTTCACATATTCCCTCTGAGTTTGGCTGGCAGGACATCATTACCTGGTTTGACAAGACAGTTGGAGAAGACTCATATTTGATTAGCTCCTTTTGTTACTGTCTGGTCAACATAAGCCTCTGAAATTATGTATTTAAAGTTAAAACTTTTGATAAATTCAGATAAATGTTTGCAAATAGGAAAGTTTGTATGTTGGGTTTTTTTTTTAATCCCCTACTTTTGCTTTACTGCCAATTTTTTAAGTCTTAAGGGAACAGTCAGTTGTTAGTAGTACAGAGAATAAGCTTTTTCCTACATTGTTGTTGTGATTTTTTTTTATTTTGCTCAATATGCAAGTAAAAGCCAGCTAATACGATTCTCTTTTTAATGGCTATATAACACCTGTGCAGACCAGAATAAAAGTCTTTAAAACACAGCACAGTTTGAAGGCAAGTCTTATACTGTATAAAGAACTGCCACGCAGCAAAAAAATAAAGTTTCCAGAGCTTAATGTCTGAGTTCAGGAGATTCTTTTCTGAGAGGTGTTTTCTAACAGGAGAAGAAAATCAGAATTAGAGGAGTCCTGTGGCAGGAAAGTTGCTGGTTTCTCAGTGGCATGCAGATACAATATGGTACTATGGAGCACTCTGCAGTGCATTTCTCCTAGTGGTAATTGCCAGAGTAAAGGTTGTCTTTGGAAGGAAACATAATCACAACAACCAACAATTGAGTCTATATAGAATTAAAAATAAATATATGATTCCAAAAGCATTAAAACAATGTCTTTTCTTCATCTATCAATAGAGGACTATAAGAAAATTAATGATTGCCAAAATAAGCAAGATTTAATTGCAACTCCAGGTATTCACGTGTATGTTATGTGTCCAGCATTGGTATTCAGAAGAATTCTTAAAACATTTTTCTTCTAAGATGGCGAATTTGGCAGTTAAAAACAGGAAATACATCTTAGGTAGCTTCCATCTGAAATCTCTGTATTTCTATCTTTTTTTTTCACTATATCACTTTTCATTGCTTATTTAATACAGACTATACTGTGGTAAACTTCTTATTT